AATGAAGAGAATTTTAAAAAGGAAGGTTGGACTCCATCAGTGTTCTATTAGTCATCTTTTCCTTCATCCTCCTCTCCATCATCATCTTTACCTTCCCCATCATCTTCATCCTTTTCTTCATCAGTGTCTTCTAAACCGTCTTTATCATCATCTTTAAAAAAAATAATCACTTTATTTGGGGCTCGTACAACTCATCACAATCCATACATCCATTGTGTCAAGCACATTTGTACATATGTTGCCATCATCATTTTTCCAATTCTTTGAAGAAGGTTGATGGTTTTTGAATTGGTATAGCATTGAACTTGTAAAGTGCTTTAGGTAGGATTGTCATCTTTACTATGTTAAGCCTTCTAATCCATGAGCCATCATCATTTTCAAAACATTTTCTTTCTACTTAGAGTCCTTGTTATCAGTTCATCCCCCCCACCTCCCTCATGAACCCTTGATAATTTATACATTTTTTTCCATGTCTTACACTGACCAGTGTCTCCCTTCACCTGCTTTTCTGTTGTTTGTCCTCCTGGGAGAGGGTTATATGTAGATCATTGTGATCAGCTCCCCCTTTCTCCCCCCACCTTCCCCTTCCCCTCCAGTATCGGTACTCATTATTGGTCCTGAGGGATTTATCTGTCCTGGATTCCCTGTGTTTTGAGCTCTTATCTGTACCCATGTATATGTTCTGGTCTAACCAGATTTGTAAGGTAGAATTGGGGTCATGATAGTGGAGTGGAAGAAATATTAAAGAACTAGAGGAAAGTTGTACGTTTCTTCGGTGCTATACTGTATCCTGACTCAAGGGGTCAGGTGACTCTTCCTTGTGAGCCCTCTGTAAGGGGATGTCCAATTGTCTCCAGATGGGCGTTGGATCTCCACTCCACGCTCCCCCTCATTCACATTGATAAGTCCTCATCTCCTTCACCTGTTTCATCATCTATATCCAAACAGCACTGTAATGGATTTGACCAAATACCATCTTTTCTTCTCTTTTAATTATCATTTTATTGGGACCTCTAACATCTCTTGTTACAATTCATACATCATATATCATTTTTGATGACTTCTCCTAACTCATCTGCACCTGCATCAGTGTTCAATAAACCAGGCAAAGAAACTCCCTGGTTCTCCATGCTGCCTCTTCCTGCTGGCTTTGTTCTATGGTTGACTTGAACATTTCATCAGTTCCTTTCCAGATTTCCATTGATGTTGGAGATGGATTACCACTCTCATTCAGATGAAATTCTTCATTTTCTTTTGAAATTCTTTGTTTTAGAAGTAAGAATTTTCTTCAAATTCTGTTACTTCAACTCTGGTCAAATAATACAGTGCCTCTTCATCCTCTTCCCCAAGCTATGCAGGCACTTGTGAGTGGTTGACACATGTTGCTACCCCCACATTTGGGATTTTGGTGATCAATTCTGACCTCTTCTGAAAGAATGGTTGGCAGAGTTTGTTATGTTTCTGTTAACTTTCAAAATTTCCTCACTGACTTGTTAAGTCTGTCTCTTTTTGTACTTCATCAATATGTCCAGTTGCTTCCTGCTGTTCTTTTTCTTCCTTTGGAGAGGACGAAGTCTCCTGCAGTTTAGGTTTCTTCACTTAAGGCAGGATTAAAGACTGGAGTTTAGGGGCTGTGCTGCCAACTAAGTCCAAGATACGTGAAAGCTGAGCTGCCTGCCTGGTGGAAATCAATACTTGCCATTTTAAAGGTAGTTATTCAGCATTAATTTGAAGACTAAAGCAAGACTTCAGAATCTGCTAAGGTCCAACTAACTATTGGTCTTTTCCTGTCTGGAGCAAAGAAGAATGAAGAAAATCAAAGACAATAGTCCAAAAAAACACAAAAGACTATGTGAGTTCCACTATCTGTGACCTTGAGAACAGAAGAACTACATGGTGCCTGGCTACCACTGCTTATTACTCTGAAAAAGATCACAATAGGAATTTTTTATTAAAGTGGGAGAAAACTTTCATCTAGATTAAAATAAGTTAAAGAAGATGTCATGATCTGGTCAGATGAATTTTAATAAAAATGAGAAAAACAAACATCACAGGGTTAAGATTAGACTCTCTTGTTTTTGTTAGGTTTGAGAGTATTATTAGCTGTTATTTTTTATATTAATTTGAATATTAAGCTTGAGAGTCCTACATAAAATATTTCTGACACTTTGAAAGAGCAGGAAAACATTTTTGTGAACTAGAAACTATCGAGTAGATGACATTAACTGTCTTATTGAAAAGATCACA